CTGTAGGCCACTTCGTGCTCTTCGAGTTCCCAGAACTCCATTCCCGGGCCACATTTTGAATGCCCGGAGCCAACTGTAGGCAACTTCGTGCTCTTCGACTTCCCAGAACTCCCATTCCTGGGCCACATTTTCAGCAGGGGCAAGAGCACGACGAGGAGGAGGACGAGCAAGACCAGGAGGACGAGGACGAGCAGGAGCAGGACGAGGAGCAGGAGGAGCAGGAGAAGAAGGACGAGCAGGAGGAGGAGGAGGACGAGCAGGAGGAGGAGGACGACCAGGAGGAGGAGGACGACCAGGAAGAGGAGGAGGAGGAGGAGGAGGAGGAGGAGGAGGGGAGGAGTACCAGGAGGAGGAGGAGGAGGAGGAGGAGGAGGAGGAGGAGGAGGAGGAGGAGGAGAGGAGGAGGAGGAGGAGGAGGAGGAGGAGGAGGAGGAGGAGGAGGAGGAGGAGGAGAACACCAGGAGGAGGAGGACGAGCAAGACGAGGAGGACGAGAACGAGGACGACCAGGAAGAGGAGGAGGAGGAGGAGGAGGAGGAGGAGGGGAGGGGGAGGACTACCAGGAGGAGGAGGAGGAGGAGGAGGAGGAGGAGGAGGAAGAGGAGGAGGAGGACGAGGAGGAGGAGGAGGAGGACGAGGAGGAGGAGGGGGGGGGAGAGCACCAGGAGGAGGAGAACGAGGACCACCAGGAGGAGGAGGAGGAGGAGGAGGAGGAGGAGGAGGAGGAGGAGGAGGAGCACCAGAGAGGAGGAGGACGAGCAAGACGAGGAGGACGAGAACGAGGACGAGCAGGAGGAAGAGGAGGAGGAGGAGGAGGAGGAGGAGGAGGAGGAGCAGGAGAAAGAGGAGGAGGAGGGAGGCAGGCTGAGGCTGAGGCTGTGACTGCGACTGCCGTTGCCGCTGCGACTGTCATCGCGAATGCGACTACGACTGCGAGAACAGCAGAATTCTACAACTGGATTTTCATCTGAATCTTAAGGGGAATGCTTTCAGATATGCTTCTACACATCGCTGTTAGGTTGCTTTGCCGGGATAATTTTTGCATCTAGGGGCCCTCTTGGGACGCATGTTGGAGGCTTCTTGGGGCCTCTTGGGGGCGTCCTTGGACGTCTGGGGTCTCCTGGGGCCTCTTGAGGGGCCTCCTGGGGGCCTCCTGGCGGCCTCTTGGGGCGGAAGGCTCGAGCTTGCGGTTCGTGGTCCCCCTCTGGGCCCCCTCTTGGGCCCGTCTTGGGGCCCTCTTGGGCCATCTTGGGCGCCTCTTGGGCCGTCTTGGGGCCCTCTTGGGCTGTCCTGGGGCCCTCTTGGAAGCTTCTTGGGCCGTCTTGGGGCGGTCTTGGGCGCCTCTTGGGCCGTCCTGTAACGTCGGAAAGCCCAAAAGGCAACTTTGTTGAAAATGTACGTTTTACGAAGGGAATGGGCCAATTTTTGCGTCTAGGGGCCCTCTTGGGACGCATGTTGGAGGCTTCTTGGGGCCTCTTGGGGGCGTCCTTGGACGTCTGGGGTCTCCTGGGGCCTCTTGAGGGGCCTCCTGGGGGCCTCCTGGCGGCCTCTTGGGGCGGAAGGCTCGAGCTTGCGGTTCGTGGTCCCCCTCTGGGCCCCCTCTTGGGCCCGTCTTGGGGCCCTCTTGGGCCATCTTGGGCGCCTCTTGGGCCGTCTTGGGGCCCTCTTGGGCTGTCCTGGGGCACTCTTGGGAGCTTCTTGGGCCGTCTTGGGGCGGTCTTGGGCGCCTCTTGGGCCGTCCTGTAATGTCGGAAAGCCCAAAAGGCAACTTTGTGAAAAATGTACGTTTTACGAAGGGAATGGGCCAATTTTTGCGTCTAGGGGCCCTCTTGGGACGCATGTTGGAGGCTTCTTGGGGCGTCTTGGGGGGCGTCCTTGGACGTCTGGAGGCCATCTTCAGCATCTCGGAGCCCTCTTGGAGGCCTCTTGGAAGTTTCTTGGGCCGTCTTGGGCGTTTCTGGGGCCGTCTTGTCTGACTGGGGAGGCCTCCGGCAAGCCCCGACGAGCCTCCGGGGCCCCCGGGGTGCACATTTGCGGTCGAGGTCCCGGCCCCGGGCCCCCGGACCCGGTGCGCCGTTATATGTATATTCTCTTTTCAAAGGGACGAGAGTCGGGTCGGGCGAAAGGGGGGGATAGCAAAGGGGGGGGGGCTGAGAATCAACTCACGTAGCTGATTTTCCCGGCGCCTCCTGGCGCCGGAGGCGGCTATGTATCGAGGAATGGGCCCCTCGGTGAGGCCGACACCAGCTGCATGCAGCAGATTTCGTAACTCCCCCTTTCCCAATCCCCCCCTTTCGTCCTGCCCGAGAAAGGGGTGGGTCATAAAGCCCTGCGTGCGCAGGCCCAACATCCTTGTCAGAACCCACTGCAGAGTACACGTTGACGCCATGTCTTGGACCATGCGCGGGCCCCCCGCGATCATTTTGCATTTTTGAAGGGGCCCTGGGACACACAAATAAATACACACAAATAGCAGGATTCCCCACATATTCCATGTTATCTGGGTATATGTCTTCCCCCCCACTTCCCATATTTTCCTATATTTTCCTGCGAGTCGACGATGAATTGTGTCTGTGTTTTTTCCTCCCTGAATTTTGCATTTTCCGAAAAGGATGATGGGGGGGGGGGGCCCTCGCACGCGCGGCGCACCTCGCGGGCATCGCGCACCTGGCCGGCGTCCGCATGGGTTCCCGATGGTCGTCGATGGCAGCCCTTGCCAGTGCTCAAGGAGGGGTAGCTTGACACCTCTCCCCATCCCCCTCCCTTGGGTCTGGAATGAGGGGGCCCGAGGTGTCAGAGGCCTTGCCTTGGCCAAAGATGGCTCCAAGAATGGCCCCAGATAGCCCAAGCTCGCATTCAGGATGGCACAGTACAGCCAAAGATGTTTCATGATGCCCTTGGGCATGCCTCCAAGATGCTTCAAAACCGCCCCAAGGCATCTCCAAGTGGCCACGGAGTCTCCCAAGGACGCCCCCGAGAGACCAACACTCTTCCAAAACGTCAGGAAAATGCGTGACGATTGCCTTGTGGCTGGTTCGTTTCCGACTGGCTTCATGGTCCAAGACAGCCTCAGGAGGGACCCACGAAGGCCCCCCAAGACGACCCCAGGAGCGCCCTAGAGCTCCCCAAGAGCGCCCAAAGAGGCGACCTTTCGGCATCTGACGGGGGCGCAAATTAGGGCTCCCCCTGATCCACCGATGGTCTCCAAGATGGCCCCCAAGAAGGCCCTAAGAGGGCCTCAACAGAACACAGAAGACGGCCAAAATGGCTCTAAGAGAGGTCCTCGATAATCCCAAGAGACAGGCTCCCAGAGCGAAGTACTCGCGAAAACCTTGATGATTGACTCCTGTCGCCGTCGTCGTTCCTGCAGATAGTTCCTGGATTGGCTGGTGGGGATACGCTTTTTTTGGTCGCGGGCGGACGCGGATTCGCAGTCGCCGAGCTGAGAGGTCCGGGCCACGGGCCTACTGGTGGGGATACTTTTTTTTTACAGCCGCAGGCGAAAGCGCCGACGGCGGGCGGTCACGGTCGGGCTGCGGCCGCGACTAAATTCCCGGGCGCGCGCGGGGGCCGCGGATCAGGCGGCGGGGAGGAGCAGCGACCCAGGGCGTCTGAGAACACTGGTGGGGATACGCGAAGCGTCAAGATGTTTGATGTGCAGCACGGCTCGAAAAGCCTAGCCATGATGAACCTCACAGCTCATCGGCAACCACGATATCATTGTGGCTGCAAGCCTCCGAATGAAGATAAACATCTCGGCATGGCATTTTACACGTAAGCCGAAAAAAAGCATGCCTTAAAGAGAGATGCTATGCTCAAGGGAGGTACCGTGGTGGACCCGACCCTCTCTCTTACTGCCATGGTCTACGCGCGGACACTCCGTCACCGTGCTCTCGGCACGTTGGGCATGTTGTAATGCATCTTGGCTGCGTGGCACGGCCTCGGCAGTTTTCCAGGGGTGGCCCGCCCCCACACCCCCTGCGGCGCAAGGGCCTCTAGAGACCGCCCCCTTGAAACCAGCCCAAATCCCCGGGGGAACTCCGAACTCCGAGATAGCCTCGACAACCGACCGGCCGGCCTCCACACCAGCCTACAAGAGCCCAGACATCCCCCCCCCCCGTCAAGCCTCCAAAATGTTCTGGAGCCCCCACGGCCCCACAGGCCGTGAGAGACCCTAAGGAGCCGGGAGAGGCTTTCCATCGCATGATGGCCTCGAAGGGGCTTCGGAGAGACCAAAGAAGCTTCCAAGACGGCCCAACCCCCAAGACGGGTCCAAGACGAGCCAAGAGCCCCGCAAGAAGGCCCAAGACTGCAGCCTGAGGGCTCCATCCTGGATGCCCCCATCAGGGCCACAACGAGGCCCCAAGGTTCGCCTCGGCAGGCCGCCGCGAAGGGCCCCAGAGGCCCCAAGAGAACCCCAGCATCTTAACATGTTTCGGAAAGGTGCCCGAGAGCCATCGCGATGCCCTCACGTGGCCCCAAGATGGCCTGAGGGGCCAGCGGAGGATGGCGCAGCCCGTTCATATACGCTGCACATAAAAAAATGCGCGGATATTCTGCGCTGGGGCTCCCCGCGAGACCACAGGACCGAGAGAAACACGCATGCGGGGCTGAGGGGTTCGCCTGGGATCGACATGGTGTCATTTCAAACATAGGCGCGTGCCCCTCCTCACCGCCCAACTCCTCCTCCTCCTCCTCCTCCTCCTCCTCCTCCTCCTCCTCCTCCTCCTCCTCCTCCTCCTCCTCCTCCTCCTCCTCCTCCTCCTCCTCCTCCTCCTCCTCCTCCTCCTCCTCCTCCCCCTCCTCCTCCTCCTCCTCCTCCTCCTCCTCCTCCTCCTCTTTTAACAACCGACAATAGAAAGAGACACCCGAGCCCTGCCACTAGGCCGTCTGGAAGGAGATTTAGAGAGAAACACCCCGACCCCGCAGCACCATGGACGGGCGCTGGTTCCCAAATCGACCCCAGAGAGTGGAGGTGCGTCAGCCTCTGGCCAGTGCTCCTCAATACCCTCTCTCTCTGGCCAGAGAATCCACGCCGCAAACAGGGCGCTCTCCGCTGCTGGCCGTCCACCACGAATCGCTCGCCCTCTCGCCAAACAGGCTGTAGCCGACGCTCCCTCTGTCAGCGAGGGAGGCGTCCTGCTCTGGCTGGGAGGCGTCGGGCGGACCGTCGGCCACGCCGAGTTGGCGCCAGCCGGGCCGCTCAAGGGGAGGCTGCTGGTCGTCCCAAGGCGGCTCTGCGAGCGGGCGGCAGGCCATCGCGGAGTCGCGGCTCGGCCAGCTGCGATGCTCCACCTGCGCCTCCCACAGCGGCGGGTAGACCATGTACGGCACCTCCTCATGGCACGCCCGGACGGAGTACCGAAAATATGGCCACGATGCCCAGTAGCAAGTGTTGTCCACGACCGACAGCGGCCGATGTTGGGCAAGCGCATCCCTGTATCGAACGGACACAGTCCGTAGCGACGCCGACGGCGAGTCCGATTCATCATGGGCAAAAACGGCTGTCAGTGTTTGTCCCCACTTCTTCCGTACAGTTGGAGCTCGACCACAAGAAACCCTCCACAAGAAACCAAACCCTGAGACCCCAGGACGCCCACTGATTTTTGGTGCGGGAACGTCACGCTTTCCATTGCAAAACCATCGAAAACCAAGACGCCCATGGCACCCTGGAGGCAAGCAGGCTGTTTCTTGGCATGGGCTTCCATTGTACCCATGTCGGTGTTTGTTGCCCAGACACGTATCGGGCCCGCGGCTGCATGGGAAGCTTTCTCGAAGAAATTGCCCGACGGTCCAAAACGGCCACAACGAGATCCAGCACAACAGGCGACAAGAAAGAAGAGGAGGAGGAAGCAGAATGGGAGGAGGAGGAGGAGGAGGAGAAAGGGAGGAGGAAGACGCGGACGACCAGCAGGCGGCTTGATCGTGCAGCCGAAGACGGGGGCACGGGCCAACATTGGGCCAAGCTCGCCTCACACGCCATGGGCACGCGCGAGGTCCGAATGGGCCTGGCCAACGCGAAGCGCGGTAACAGAAATGAGCACAACTATTGAGCAACAAACAAGGGCTTCCCAATCTTGGAGAGAGCGTGATCCACCGCCGCTTTACTGTGGAAAATTCCCCCCCCCTCTTCCTCCGGAACCCGGGGGTCCCCCCCACGCCCCACCTCCAAAAATCCCCCCCCTGCTGGACCCCCCCCCCCTCCCCTCCTCCCCCGGCAAAAAACCCCCCCCCCTCCCCTAACCCCCCTCCCCCCCCCTCCCTCGAAAACCGAAGGGGGGCCACTACGGGTTCGAACCCCCCCCCCCCCTCGAAAACCGGAGGGGCTACCGGTTCGAACCCCTCCCCCCCCTCACCGCCAGCAAACGACTCCCGGTCCCTACCACCGTCCGCACCACATCCCCCACTGTGTTCCCAGCACCACTGTCCTCACCACCACTGTCCCCACTGGTTCCACCACCGTCCCTACTGTCCCCACCAGTGCCCCCACCACTGTCGCACTGTCCCCACTGTCCCCACCACTGTTCCCACCACGGTTCCACTCTCCCCACTTTCTCCACGGCCCCAACCACTGCCCGACTATCCCCAGTCCCCACTGTCCCACTGACTCCTCCGCTGTCCCACTGAGCTGTCCCACTGTTCCCACCACTGTCCCCACTGTCCCCCCCACTGTCCCCACTATACCTCTGTTCTCTTGTCCCACCGCCGTCCTCGCCACCGCCTTCACCACTGTCCCCACCACCACTGTATCCTCCACTGTCCCACTGTTTCCACCACATTCCTGCTGTCCCCACACCACTGTCCCCACACCAATGTCCCCACCACCACCGTCCCCACCTCTGTCCCATGGTCCCCACTGTTCCCACCATTGTCCTCACCACTGCCCCCACCATTACCATCCCCACCACTGTCCCACTGTCCCCGCCACTGTCCCGCTGTCCCCTCACCACTGTCCCCACCACCACCGTCCCCATCACTGTCCGCACCCCCCGCCGGTTTTCGAGGACGGGGGGGGGATTCGAACCTATAGTGACCCCCCCGGTTTTCGAGGGGGGGGGGTCGAACCGGCAGTGACCACCCCCCCTTTTCATGATGGACTGGAGGGGGGGAGGGGTTCGAACCGGCAATGACCCCCCCGGTTTTCCGGACGGGAGGGGGGTCGAACCGGTAGGACCCCCCCCCCAGTTTTCCGCCAGCAGCGGTAGAACACGCTCTTTCCAATCTTGGGACGCTTACCCGCACGCACACAGGATACATCATACCGCTGCCTACTACGTGCAGGTGGGCGCTCAGAAGGGGGCATTTCACCCGAGCCACCCGCAAACCTAGAATTGCCGACTTGCCCACACGAAACCTGATGGGAGCCACACGGGACGCACACCCTCGCACCACGACTCACCAACACCTGGTGCCCATTGAACTCGACGATCGCTGCATCAAGCGGCGCACTGACACCCGTGGACCCCTGATTCCAATGAGCGGGCCCCTCGTCGCCCAAGAACGCGTCCGACGCCTCCAGCGCAGCGGCAACAGCACGGGACCTCATCGAAGGGGCCCTTTGCTGCTGGAGGCCCCCCAAGCGCCTTGAGCCTCTGTTGCGCCGCCGGCGCGCATTCGGCAAGCAATAACTCATCGAGTATTTGAACCCTTTAGGCGCCCGAAGTGGGCAAGGAAAACATGGGCACAATGCCCAGCATCAAATGTTGTCCCAAACCAACAGCGGCCGCTGTCGGGCAGGCGGCATGATGTCTCGAGTGGGCATAGGCCGCGGCGGCGTGGACAGCGAGTCCTGTTCAAAATGGACAGGAACTGCTGTCGGGCACGGCACCAAGTCTTTCCGCACCTATTTCGTTCGCGCCGAAGCCAGCAATAAGTCATCGAGGCCAGCAGGAGTCCTGGCCGCGGTCGGGCGCGCTTCACATTGGAGCAGGGGGGGCCGACTCACCACGCCGCGCCTCGCGAGAACCACGGGGCGCGCCGGGGCCTATACAAGCAGGGGCCTGGGGGGCCCATCACTCAGAGCATCACGATGGGTCATCTCGCACGCACACCATGCCATCATATTAGCCTCCATCCGCGCGCCCCGAAGCCGACGCCCATCCGAAATCGCGAGCGCGTTGGCCACTGCGCTGGTGGACGCGCCAGCCTTCGCAAAGAAATCCACCCATTCGTTGCCCAAGAAACTCCCGAAGGGATGGTGATTCATTCCAAGAATCCCACCAGCCCTTGGGCGTGACTGGTTTAGCGAGCTCTCTCTGTCCTCAACCCCCCTTCTTCCCCTTCGGGGAGGGGTTTACCCCTCCCCCTACCCCCTCCCCCTGGGCCTGGGGAGGGGGGGCCGCGGGTCGTCAGGGGGGTCAATTTCGACTCCTGGGGGGGCTAAAAAACGACACTCCTCACGAGGATTCTGGCCCCGACGGGGGGGAGGAGAAAAAACCCTCTCCTCTTCTTTGAAGCCAAAATCATTGGTTTTACTACGGTTTCGGCCCCATTTTGCCCTTCTGAGGGGGCAGCGCGCCTCTTCCTTCATAGCAAAATCATTGATTTTACAAAGGTTTTGGGGTCATTTTGTCCTTCTCAAGGGGCAGCGTTCAGTTGCGCTTCTGAGGAGGTCGCAAGAGGCCCCAAGCTGGCCCCAAGAGGCCCCCAGGAGGCTCCCAAGAGGCCTCCAAGAGGCCCCCAAGAGGCCCCCAAGAGGCCCCAAGAGGCCCCCAAGAGGCCCCCAAGAGGCCCCCAAGAGGCCCCAAGACGCCCCAAGAGGCCCCCAAGAGGCCCCCAAGAGGCCCCCAATAGGCCCCAAGAGCCTCCAAGAGGCCCCCAAGAGGCCCCACGAGGAGCCCGAACGACTCACACCAGGACGAGGGGCCCGAACGACTCACACCACGAAGAGCCCGAACGACTCACACCACAAGGAGGGGCCCGAACGACTCACACCAGGACGAGGCGCCCGAACGACTCACACCACGAGGAGCCCGAACGACTCACACCACGACGCGGGCCCGAACGACTCACACCACGAGGAGCCCGAACGAGTCACACCAGGAGGAGGGGCCCGAACGACTCACACCAGGATGAGGGGCCCGAACAACTCACACCACGAGAAGCCCGAACGACTCACACCAGGACGAAGAGCCCGAACGACTCACACCACGAAGAGCCCGACTCACACGAAGGGCCCGAACGACTCACACCAGGACGAGAAACCCCAAACGACTCAAATCACGAGGAGCGCTTTCTCTCCCTCCTCCTCCGCCTCGAAGAGGCGGGAGGAAGGAGGAACAGGGGAGATATGCGGGGCCAAGCGGACACACGCCTGAAAAACACGACTGTCGGCATGCTTCGCAAGAGTTGCTGCTGTGAGATGGGCTGGTGGGGATACGCGAAGCGTAAAGAATTATGCCGCCGTCTGGCGGGCTGGGCATCTGCGAAATGCAGGCGGCTGTCGCCAAAGCACGAGATGGAAAATATTTCGCCAGACGTCGGCAGACTGAGCCTGGGAATCCGCCGATACACGGGGCCCACCCCACATCCTCTTGCACCAGACTCAAGAGGTCTGTGACCACGAGCGAGACCACGGGCGTTAACTAGAGAGCGAATGGGAGGGCCGTGCGCCTCCCGAGTCCAACTGTCTGCACAGGGCCCGCCAATAGACCGCAAGCAGCACGAACTCGAAGAGCGTTTTCTCCCAGCTAACAAAAACCCCAGCCACACCGTCGAAATTCAGGCCACAACGGGGCCAGCCCCGAGCCAGCCGCGAAGACCACCATGGTCCGCGCGGCCCTGTCAGACCCACCATCGCCCCATAACGCGCAGGAAGCCCCATGGCGCACATGCGAGAGGAACTGACGGCACGGCTGCACGCACGCCCATATATTGAACCAATCCCAGCCAGGAGGGCTCGAAGCAAGCCCGTGCTCCTTCAGATACCGATGCGCGATCCATCTCGGGGTTCCACTGGAGGCATTCGCCCATCGAGTCCTGGTAGAGGCTCGGACGCGCAAAGAACTCGCGCCCGAGGGTGGCCGCGTTACGTTCCCCAACACATTGACAGAGCAACCGAATCAAGATCCACCCCTACCCCCACAGTACAATCGTTACGATGCGATGTCACGACTCTGGCACGCCACCTTCCAAACCTTTTGTCGCACCAGCCCGTACACAGATTTAGGCAGCAAACGCAATAGATCTATGTCGTCGTTCTCGACGCGATGCAGAACATTACTAAACGCCATTATCCACCCGGTCCGCTTCAACGTCAGCCAGAGCACCTCTGATGGCCCACGAATGTTAGACCAGGAACTGCGGCGTCTCATTTTTTTCAGCAAGGCAACTCCTTGTTCGCTGGAACCTTCCAAGAGAAACTCAATAATCCCAGACGAAACTAGCGCATACCTGCACGGGCTCCAGAGTAGCATGATACATAAAACCATCTAGCCGACTACGTTGCGTTGCCAGCACAGGCGTCACTGATGACGAGCACGAGCCACGCCCTCACTACGTGCCCGCAATGTGTCGCCCGGCTGCGAGCCCAGCTGGGCCGGCCTCCGACGCGGCCACTCCATGGCGAGCAGCGGGAAGAATACCTGTACGCCACAAAGCCGCCACCTGACCGCCTGCCGATTTCCTCAACATTCGAAGACGAGGCAATGCATTGCGAAGCCTATCGAGTCGAGCCTGACACTGATTGCAAACAGACCGAACCGAAAATATCCCATGACTGAGGTTTTGAAACCATTTCTTGGCTGTCTGCCTCGATCTCGTTGCCTTGTCCCGAAATGGCGGACAAGCGCGCTCGGCGGCGGCCAGCCAGACCGACTTGCCAGGCTTGGTCACCAAGCCGAGCTGGATGATGTAGCCCAACTGCCTCTCGCAATTCTAGGCCTGCCCATTTGAAACGCACCGTCGTCCTCCGACGCCCGTGAAATAACGCCGCTGCGATGCACATGCACACGATGCCTTTCACGACGCGCAAGCAACTGCACATGCACCTCGAGAAGCAACCACACCAAGCCCAATGGAAACCGCGGGGCGTGCCCCTCTAAAAAGAGCGGGAAAAGGCACCGTCCCAACAGTTCTACAAACCCAACAATATGGACATAAAATGTTCGCTAAGCAAGTGCGAAACCTCTGCCTGCAAGCTATGCTCGTACGCAGGTTCGCTAGACGAAAAACCTCTCCGTTTCCCCCTATGCGTGCGACCATGCTCGCGCACCCCTGCTCGAGATGTGAGAGGACGTATGCGCGACCATAAGCGTACCATGTTCTCCATGAGCGGGATCAATCTCGCGCCACCGCCTGGTTGCGTCAAATATACCACCTCGTTAAGAATGCGATGATATGGCCACATCAACATGCGCTCGCATGTCATATGAAGTGCGCACAGTATATCCAAACCAGAGCCGGACACATACCAGAATGCACGCGGATGTAGACGTGCGCCATGGGAACGTCTGCGTGGCCTCACGCAAGACCGGCACTGTTAGAACCGAGAGATCATATCATTGCCGATGCCCCGCAGGCAACCCCATACGATACGCGTCGCGGCATGTCCATGCCGCGCGCCACTTCCACATCTCATCATCTGCCGGCGCGGATGCCCCATGCACTCCGAACGCGCATCGTCGTCGAGATACTGCATCAGATACGCGGCAGCACAAACACGCCTGAAGAAGCAAACTGCGTCCTGAATAGAGAGGGCGAGCCGCAGTACAGGGCCGTTGGGCACTGGCGACAAATCTGAAGGCCCAGGCAGGGCCCCTCGTCGCCGAACCAACTGCCATGCTTGCGCGTGTATCGGGCCGTCCATGTAAATTGCTGACCAAGGCGCCGTGTAATCAGGTAGCCGTAGGGACATACCCGCATAGCTATGTTGCTCGCAGTAGTGTTTAGCCAGTTTGGTCTGGAAGGCCCGAAGCCGCATGATGTGTTTGGCCCACTTGGCCGCTGTGATCCATGCGCGCACGAGGGGCCCATTCTGTAGTCACCGATGCTTGATGGCCCAGTTAGCTTCGACCATCTTAATACAAATCGGTCATCCACGTCCCTGAGAAGGCTAAGATGCATCATCAACGATATCAGATCGGCCAAGCATCGCAAACTCCAATCCAGCAGTAACGGCATCTCAAGCACGTCGAAGCCCTTGCTCGTCACACATACCGCGAATCAGCTCGAGGGACACTCCATGGAACTGTTGGCCGCGAGAACCCAACGTCCCCACGTTGGGGACGTTGGGCACCTGCTTGGGCTCAACTGGCATTGGCATCCGCGCCTCTGTGTGCCCTTGAAGTACTGGTAGGTGTACAGGGGCATGGACTGGCAAAACTACTGGAACATCCATGTGATGCGCTTGAACGCTGGTCGCCATCTTGTCCGATGCCACGTAAAAGTCATAGATCGATCCTCCCGTCGAACTGATGGTACGCCACGTAGAATCAGCGGGTAGAAGGAGCACGGCTCTCAACTGCTCAAGCTAAGCCTGCCCGTCAAAGCTGCTAGAGGACATGTTCATATCGCCTCCCACAACGCGGCGAAATACCAGAGAATTACGGCGACCAAGATAGCACACGAATGCACACAACGTGACATAGCTGCACCCAGTCGCCCTTCATGTAGCACAGGATCTGGCAGCAGCGGTATGCGCCAGCACAGCCACTCCTGAAGGGATACCACACTGTGGTGCACGTGCTGCAGCGGCGAAGATGCCATGGCATGGTAGCCGAGACCCTTTTTCAAAGCATGTCGCAGGCAGGGAGGGCAGCGTCGTCAGCATTGTGCTCCTGAGCCAGAACTGTAGCCGACCGACAATCTTCCATATATTCTAGCAGCGGGCCAGTATTGTCAACACTGGTGGTGGTAGCCTGACCTTCGGCCTTCAAACTTCTGCCGACTCCCTCGCCATGATGCTGAACATTAATTTTCGAATCCGCGCGCAGCGCAACGTCGGGAGGAGGGAAGACCAAACATGTCTGATCTGGCGAGCAAGTCTGGCAGTCAGCCCAGAAACTTGAAAGCTAATCTCCAGCAGAAATGCCAATAACAGCCAAAGCCTCAGCGCACCAAAGCCTCAGTGCAGACGACAGGAATATATGGAGCCCTAGTGACCACCCCATCTGCATGCATAGTACTAGGCCTGCATTCTGGCCTTACAACGCCTACTTGAATTTCCTTCGGGCCTGACTTGTTACGGGACACATAACCCACGGGACCCGATGATCTTGGTCCCAGCCCTCATTCATCATGTTGAGAGAAGTTGTACCCACACGAGACGAAGTCGTGAGACTCGTCATGTTGCCAACCGTTACCATCATCATGACAAAATTCAAGTGCACAGGTCTGGCATGGGCAAAATGCACTCGTCGACCCCGTGCGCCATGAGAACAGGCGATTGTCTGACTGACGCACTTCCTCCTCACTGGCTTCATCTGCCACTGTAATGCCAACCTGCTGGAGCTGTTCACGCAACGTGCCGACGTCGACATCACGGACAGCCGCAGGGGCCGCGGGAGCGGGCGCGGCCGTGGGCACCACAAGCTCCGCAGCATGCTGGGAAACTGGCTGCTGCTGTGGCGTGCCTGGCTGCTGCTCGACCCGCCGCGCCCCGACCACCTGGATCTGCGCGCTGGTGATGATCGTCGGCAGCTCCTCGGCGATCTCGTCCGCCATCTGCATGGCAGCCTCCCATGCTGCCTGAGGATGCCCCCCAACTTGGTGCAGCCCAGGTCGAGCGCGCCGATCGTGCCAGCGCCGTCCTGGGCATGCTCCTGCGGAGGCGGATGAATGGAGGCCTTGGCCAGCTCCATCTGCCGAAGACGCAGCTCCTCGTACTTCTGCTCTTTGTCAGCCAAGTCCTTGACCGACGCATCCAGCGTCTGCTGCAGCTCGGCCATGTGAGCCTTCTGCTGCTCCATCGAATGCTCGAGCTTCTCGATCCGCTGAGACTCCGGAGGAGGAAGAGCGGAGGAGGAGGAGCGAAGGAGGAGGACGCGCTCGGCCGAGAGCGAAGTCTGCCGCAAGCGACCGACCCCACGCGGCCCATGGGCGCCGCGGACACGCGGCTGACGCGCCGCTGGGAGGATAGACAGAAGTCGGGCCTGTCCTCCTACAGGGGGATTTTGGAGGAGAAATTAAAAAATGTCAAAAAAAATACTCCAAAACGGACAAAGAATAATCAAAAAATACTCCCCATAACAGTTTTGAGTGTTCCTCCTGTAGAGGGACAGGCCCGACTTAAGGATAGACTGTCCCCCTTTCGACTCTGCGGATCCTCTGGCCGCGGCTCCCAGGCGCCCGGGGCGAAAACGGCGGGGTAGGGCCCCCGCGGCCGCGGCCCGGGGCTGCCGAGGCCGGCCGCCGCGGTGGCCGAGGCAGAGGCCGCGTCGCCTGCGGCGCGGCGCAGAAGCGAGAGCGAGGGGGCGCCGCCTGCCCGCAAGGTCAGGTCGGGCACCTCCTCCTCCTCCCCCTCCTCCTGCTCCTCCTCCTCCTCCTCCTCCTCCTCCTCCTCCTCCTCCTCCTCCTCCTCCTGCTTGTCTCTCCTCCTCCCCCCCTCCTATGCTTCCTGTTTTCCCCCTCCTCCCCCTCCTCCCCCTCCTTCCCTCCGCCTCCTCCCCCACCTTCCCTCCCCCATCCTCCTACAGAGGGGATTTTGGACGAACAAATACCCGACAGATATGCAAAAAGAATCAAAACTAGTAAGAAAATCGTCCTCAGGCTATGTTCTTTGGCTCTTTTTGAAGATTCCTCCTGTGGAGGGACAGGCCCGACTTCACTGTAAGGGCTCTCGGAGCAAAGGCCTCCTGGATGGGGGTCGGGGTGCGGCCGGTTCGTGTCGTGCCCGCTTCGGCGCTGGGTGCTGACACCGCGGGGATCGTTCAAAATTGAACTATCGGCCGTTTCCGAGCCGCCCAATCCTTCAGCATCAGGCGGCGCGCACGAGGGAGTGGAGAGAGGAGGGGGGGGCTTCTTATAAGGAGGCTGCTTCTTAGAAGGCGCCAGCTTTACATCTATAGATAGGACCCGAGCCTTCGAAGAAGCAGGGGTGTTTCTAAGAACCCTAACCCCTCCCCCACCCCCCTCTGCGCGTGGCTGAAACATCGACCGATTCTGAATCGTCGGCGGCGTTCAACGTTGACGGCTAGCGGCGGAGTCGCCGCCAGTCGACACGACGCGAGCCTACCGTAGATGCGGTCAGAGGGTCGCGCCGTGTCAACGATGCATGAGCGATGCGTCGGCGATGCATCGGCGACGTCGGCGGTGCATCGGCGACGTCGACATTGAGAAAACTGGCCTCCACATCAAGCCGCGTCGCCGATTCATCGGCGATGCGGCGCCAGGAGGGCGCCTCCATATTTCCCAACCAGCCTGTGGTGTTGGGTCCTCGTCGTTTTGAAGAGACGGTCCCCGCGTTCCTCTCCTCTCCTCTCCCCTCCTGTCCTCTGCTCTCCTCTCCTCCTCCTTCCCCCCTTCTCCTGTCCCCCCCCCCACTTTGGCAAACCCTTCACACGTTTCGTGGCCCCACTGGGAGCTCCACCGAAGGCCTCAGTGGGACCGCCCGCATGCGCCCGCCACACCCAGTACAGCGCTTCGTGGCCCCATACGGAGCTCCACCGAAGGCCCCAGTGGGGGTGCCCGTATGCGCCCGCCACACCCAGTACAGCCCTTCGTGGCCCCATAGGGAGCTCCACCAAAGGCCGAGGTGCCCGCATGCGCCCGCCACACCCAGTGTAGCGCATCGTGGCCCCATAGGGAGCTCCACCGAAGGTCCCAGTGGGACCGCCCGTATGCGCCCGCCACACCCAGTACAGCGCTTCATAGCCTACTAGGGAGCTTCACCGAAGGCCCCAGTGGGGGTGCCGCATGCGTCCGCCACACCCAGTGTAGCGCATCGTGGCCCCATAGGGAGCTCAACCGAAGGTCCCAGTGGGACCGCCCGCATGCGCCCGCCACACCCAGTTCAGCGCTTCATAGCCTAATAGGGAGCTTCACCGAAGGCCCCAGTGGGGGTGCCCGCATGCGTCCGCCACACCCAGTATAGCGCTTCGTGGCCCAATAATTAGGGAGCTCCACCGAAGGCCCCAGTGGGGGGGCCCGCATGCGTCCGCCACAACCAGTACAGCGCTTCGCAGCCCCAAAGGGAGCTCCACCGAAGGTCCCAGTGGGACCGCCCGCATGCGCCCGCCACACCCAGTACAGCGCTTCGTGGCCCCATGATAAGCTCCACCGAAGACCCCAGTGGGGGTGCCCGCATGAGTCCGCCACACCCAGTACAGCGCTTCGTGGCCCCATAGAGAGCTCCACCGAAGGCCCCAGTGGGACCGCCCGCATGCGCCCGCCACACACATATTACAGCGTTACGTGGCCCCATAGAGAGCTCCACCGAAGGCCACAGTGGGGGTGCACGCATGCGTCCGCCACAACAAGCACAGCGCTTCGTGGCCCCATAGGGAGCTCAACCGAAGACCCCATTGGGGGGGCCGGATGCGTCCGCCACACCCAGTAGAGCGCTTCGCGGCCCCATAGGGAGCTCCACCGAAGGCCCAAGTGGGGGTGCCCGCATGCGTCCGCCACAACCAGTACAGCGCTTCGTGGCACCATAGGGAGCTCCACCGAAGGCCCCAGTGGGTGCCCGCATGCGTCCGCCACAACCAGTACAGCGCTTCGCGGCCCCATAGGGAGCTCCACCGAATGCCCCAGGTGTACCGCCCGCATGCGTCCGCATCACACACAGTACAGCGTTTCGTGACCCCATAGGGAGCTCCACCGAATGTCCCAGCGGAACCGCCCGCATGCGTCCGCCACACCCAGTACAGCGCTTCGCGGCCCCAAAGGGAGCTCCACCGAAGGCCCCAGTGGCACCGCTGCGCCACCCCCACCCAGCACAGCGCTTCGTGGCCCCATATGGGGGCTCCACCGAAGGCCCCAGCTGCACTGCCGGCATGCGTCTCCACAACCCACTACAGCGCGTCGTGGCCCCATAGGGAGCTCCACCGAAGGCCCCAGTGGGACCGCCCGCGTGCGTCCCCCCCACCCATTACGGCACGCCCCATCACGCGTTGCGTGGCCCATCGGAACCGGCACCCACAATGCGTTACTGACAACTACATATGGTTGGTTCCTTTGCCATGACAATTTCTCGAGCCGGGCGTTGTCGTCAGGCTTCGGGCCCCAGGACCTTCCCAGAACGATCCGTCCCGAAAAGTGCAGCTGAAAGATTGGGGCATGGGGCTCAAGTCTTGATCTTTGCTACACTGCTTCAACTCTTCCACGCCGTCGGATCTCTGACGGCAGGGGCCTCCCCCAAAGTGCCCAGAGGCTTCGACGAGAGCCTCTTGGAGGCCAGGAGGGCTTGTTAAGTGATTGAGACCTGCAGACTAGAAGGAGGGCGCGGCCCTCTGCGAGGAAGATCAGATCCTGGCGTCTCTGTTTTCTCGAGCCGGGCGTTGTCGTCAGGCTTCGGGCCTGGGGACCCTCACAGAACGATCCAGCCTGAAAAATGCAGCAAAAAGATGGAAGTAAGGGGCTCTGGTCTTGCTTTTTGCTACGATGCTTCCACCGGCCCTCTGGGCGTAGGTGGTCTAACGAGTTCATTTCTTCCTCTTCCAAACCCCCCTTTTTCCAATTTGGGGAAGGGTTTATCACTGTTCCTTATTGATATACACCCCCTCCCCCAGGCGACCGGCAGCCAACCAGGAACCATGCTCCCCCCCCACCATCCCTGTCAAAAAACAATTCAAAACGCTCTCTGCCTCCGAATCCGGAGCATGCGCAACCAACCCGATGCGACCCCCCCACCATCCCTCTTAAAAGACAAGACAAAATACACTTTGGGGCAAAGTCTGAGTCATGTTCGTGAGGCCCGCGAGCACGTTGTATTGTTTTTCTGATTGGGACGGCGGGGGTGTCAGCATATTGCCTGCTGCGCGCAGGGCTCCCATCCCTCACAAAACACTATACAAACTGCACCTCGCAGCGAAATCTGGATCATGCGCGGCCACCCCGCGATCATTGTCAAGAGGTTTTTGACAGGGACGGCGGGGGTGGTGACGTATGGCCTGCTGTGCGCAAGCCCACCAGACACATTGATGGGCATTGACTTTCGACAAAGATGGTGGGGGCCGACATGTCTCCCGATGAGTGCTGTCACGTGCGCAGGCGCGCCTGACACATCTGCACGTGCCCCGAACGTGGCGCACCTGTCGGGGGCGCGCAAGCCTGGATTAGCGATCCATGGATTTGGCGCGCGGTCGCCAAATCCATGGATCGGGGGAGGTGCCCTCCCCAAAATGCGGCCAGTGCCGCCCCGCTCGGCGGCGGAAATCAGCGATTTCCCATGGAAACGGGACCCGTCGCTAATCCACGCCCCCTTAATCCATATTTGCGATCGCCTGAACCTGGCGCGGCTGGAGTATGCGGCACACAGGCGCACGCGAATGCACGTGGCACATCTGGCGCACCAGACGTGCCTGGCACGCTCGGGCCGAAGAGGTGCCTGGCGCGCGTGGCGCGCCTGGCACGCGTGGCGCACCTAGCCCCAGCGTCGCGCACATGGGCTCGGCTTTGGTTCCCAGTAGCTGCACATCCAAAGACGACCGCTGAACATGCTGAGGCTCGGGTGTTACTTATGTGTTGGGAGGGCGGGTGGGCGTGAGCTAGAAGACTGCTTGCTATCTCTCCCCCTACCCCCTCCCAGGGGTCTGGATGGGACGGAGGTGGACGGAGGTGTCACGGGGTCCGTTTCGGCCGAGACGGCTCCAAGAGAGCATCCGATGCTCCAAGATGACCTCCAAAATGGATCGAGATCGCCGAGAAAGGTTCAAACTCCCTTCCGACATACGTCCAAGAGACCCCCAGATGGCCACAAGACGGATCCAAGTGCACTCGGAACCACCCAAAGATCCCCCAAAGAGTCCCAAACCCTTACACACCTCGAGAACATCAATGAAGGTTCCCTCTCGCCTTTCCGCGTCCGATGGATTCTGAGGCCTCAAAACTGCCCAAGAGAGCCACAAGAGGAGCCCAGGAGGCCCCTCAGACGGCCCCCAAAGCGCTCAAGAGCGCTCCAAGAACGCTCCAAGAGGGCTCCAAGAAACGGTTTTCGGGGGAAGGCTAGATAAAGGATGCCCCTTGGCCTCCAAGATGGCCCCAACAAGAGGCCCCCAAGAAGGGGCCAGGTAGAGGTCACGTGCGTTGTAGGGTAAAACGTTACCTCTGGGCTATGTGTATGCAATGGGCTATAGTAAAGTGCAATAAAGAGAAAAGTAGTTCTAAGGATCCCTTCTGGTTCTACCCGCGGCGGTCATCATCTTGCCCTGCAGGAGCCTGTTCGGAGTCATTCAGGGACCCTTCGAGTTCTTGGTGAATTCTGGCAAGTCCAGAGGAGCTCTGAAGAATATCGAAGAATTGTTTTTCATGTGTCCCGTACCTTTCTGTCTGCATTCCGCAGGGTTCCGAGGAATCCTCGGGAAGCCTCATGATCCTGCGGGCGCCAAAGAATCCTTGAGGGCTTCCGAAGGAGTGCTGCGGATACAAGAAATCCAAAAGGAATTCCAAGGGACCTGCACGGTTCCTGCAGGAAAATGAGGGACCTTCTTGGAAACCATCGGGGGTCTGCCGGTGTCACCAGAATGTTGGAGATCATTGGGGAGTCCTGGGCAGCCCTTCAAGAGTCCTCTGGTGTCCAGGGGAACCCCGAGGGGAGTCTGAGGAGTCTTGAAAGATGCGGAGGGAATCGAAAGAAGCCCGAAGGGAATCTGATGAATTGTCAGATATTCGGGGAAACACTGAAGAACCATGAAGGAAGCATGGGGGATCCTGAAAGACCCCAGAAGATCCCGCGGAATCCGAACTGAATCTGCGGAATCCTTGGAGAATATGGGCACACCTGAAAAATCCCGAAGCGGCCTGGGGCATCCTGAAAATGCTATAGAAAAAGACCTGCTGGTTCCCGAGGAATCCGTGAGAATTGCGAACGCTGCGATTGCCGAAACCTTGAGGAGTCCTGGGGGGAGCCTTGGTTTTACCGTTACATGCATACGGTCGTTTCAATAGGGTTTGCAATAGGATCACACCACGGAGTGTAGCTTTTCTATTAGGGTCGCGCAACTCCAAACGTCATCTGCGTGCGGGGAATACCTTGCTAGTTGCAGTGTACGCGGATTGCATGTGTATGTGCATCAGATGTGAATTGGATTGGCACTGTATGTGTATTGTAGCTGTAGTGCGGCTGTGTTGTGTTAGTAGTGGACTCGTATTGTGTAGGTGCTGGATTCGCATTGTATGGGAATTGTACCGAAACCACTCCAGAACCCACCTTTACCCATTAAGCTTCATATTTACACTACACACAAGTAATGTTCAACCCAAGGGGCCCAAGAAGGCCCCAAGACACCCCAAACAAGCCCCAAGGGGGGCCCAAGAGGGCCCCGAGAGAGCCCCAGGTGGACCCCAAGAGGGCCTCAAGAAGGTCAGCTCTCGTCGGCATCGTTTCTGAACGGGCTGGTGGGGATACGCCGAGCGTGAGGAATTGACGTAGCACCCCGCAATTGAAGATCAGAGTGAAAGCGCGGCCTTCTGTGAGGGTTACCAGATCCTGACGTCTCAATGTTTTTTCGTGCCAGGCGTTTTCGTCAGGTTTCGGGCCCAGGACCCTCACTGAACGATCCTGCCAGAAAAGGCAGCGAAACGATGGGGGAATGTGGCTCCTGTTCTGATTATTGTTGCGCTGCTTCAATTGTTCCGCGCCGTGGGATCTCAGAAAGAAGGGGCCTCCTCAAAAGGGCCCAGATGTTTCGAAGAGGGCCTCTTGGAAGCCAGGAGGACTTCTTCATCCCACCAGCCCTCTGGGGCGTGGGTGGTCTAACGAGCTTTTTGTTCCTCTTCCACAACTCCCTTCTTCCCCTTCGGGGAGGGGCTTGCCCCTTCCCCAAGCCCCTCCCAGGGGTCTGGATGTCAGGGGGTCCATGTTCGCCCAAGATGGCCCCGAGAGGGCCTCTGATGCTCCAAGATGGCCTCCAAAATGGTTCAAGATAGAAAGGTCCAAAATCGTTTCTGCCATACGTCGAAGAGGCCAACGATGGCCACAAAACGGACCCAAGTGCTTTCGGAGCCACCCAAGGATCTCCCAAAGAGTCCACAGTCCTTGACACACCTAGAGAAAATAAATGTATGTTGCCCTGTCGCCTTTTCGCGTCCGATAAGCTTCTGAGGCCTCGAAAAGGCCCAAGAGAGCCACGAGAGGGGCTCAGGAGGCCCCGCAGACCCGACCCCGAGAGAGCCCCAGGTGGAGCCCAAGAGGGTCTCAAGAAGACCCGCTCTCGTCGGCAGCGTTTCTGAACGGGCTGATGGGGAAACGCTGAGCGAGAGGAGCTGACGTAGCACCCCGCAATTGACGATCAGAGTGAGGGTGCGGCCTTCTGTGAGGGTTCTCGGATCCTGAGTCCCAGGACCCTCACAGAACGATCTGGCCCGAAAACTGCAACAGAAAGATGGGGGGCAAGGTGCTCCGGTTTTGATGTTCTCTGCACTGCTCCAATTTTGCCACGCCGTGGGATCTCTGAAGGCGGGGGGGCCCTCAGAAGGGCCCAGAGGCTTCGAGGAGGGCCTCTTGGAGGCCAGGAGGGCCAGGGCGCCTTCATCACGAGAGAAAGCTGCATAAACATGAACATTCGGAGCTTCGCACGGACCCATCGGATCGGCACTGGGCCCTCCCGGCGGCGCTCCAGCGCCGCCCCTGGCGCGCTCCGCACGCCAGGGAGGTGGGTCCAGAACGGGTCCAACAAGTCAGGGCGGACCTCAAAAAATTATGTTTCTGCCAATGTTTTTCTTTGGACGCCCAGAATGGGTACGGAAAAGTGGATACAATGCCCAACAACAAATGTTGTCCCAAACCAACAGCGGCCGCTGTTGAGCAGGCGGCCTTCTGTTTTACAAGGGCACAGGCCGCGGCGGCATGGTCAGCGAGTCCTGCTCAAAGTGAACAGGAACTGCTGTTGGGCATCGTACCCACTCTTTCCGTACCCATCTCGCTCGTGCGAACTTTCAATCGACGAATGGGGCAACGACAAGATATCGATACCGTTAAGTCGGGCGTGTCCCCCTACACGGGGATTTTGGACGAAAAATACAAAAATACCCACAAAATACCTTCAAACATACTCAAAATAGTTAAAGATTGCCCCCAGACAACTTTTTTACTATTTTTGAATGTTCCCCTGCAGAGGGACAGGCCCGACCTAACGATGCCGCTATCAGCCGTGGCGACGAGGGACAGGCAGCGGCATCGGGGCCCTTCCTCCCTCCGCCCCGCGAGAAGCCACCCCCCGCCTTCTCTCAGGAGGCCGCCCCCCCTCGTGCGCGCGTCGCTCTCGAGGGGGGGGAACACCGCAGGTGGGCCGGCTCGGGGGGTGGAGGCATCGACTCGGAAGCGGCGACACGCCGCCGATATGAATCGGAGAGGGGCGTCCGACAGAGAGTCCGCATGCTCCTGGGTGGAGCGCGCCATCGAGCCCCGATCCGCGATCCACTGGTGCTTGGGGGTCCAGGCCATCCCACCCTTAGCCGAATGGGGAAACGAAAAGATATCGATGCCGCCACTAGCCGTGGCGACGAGGGACGGGTAGCCACCCTGAACCGAAGTATCCCCCCTAACGTTGCCCCGGAAAGAAAGCCGCATGGGCCAGGAGCGCCCCTTGAGAAGCCCCCCCCCGCCTTCTTAGAGAGGGCCACCCCCTCGCGAGCCGCCCCCAGAGATCCGAAGCCGTGACCTCTGCACAGCGTGGCTGCCCAGAGGCCTGGGCCCCTTCCCGAGGACAGGCCCGTCACCCTGGGCCGGGCCCGCCAAAGACCCCACGGGGCCGAAGACTGCCGACACCCGCCCACCCCGCAGGACCCCCCTCACGACGCAAAGAGAAGACCTGGGCCTGCCACGGATCGAAGCTCGCTCTCCGGACCTCACCCGGGGGCACGCTCCGACCAGGGCCGTGAGGCGAGGCCAGCCGGCCGTGGCGACGCGAAGCCCCCTCGGAGGCCACAGAAAGAGCACCGGCCCTCGACGTTGGAGGCTCGAGGTACCGCGCGACCGCTTCACGACGCGAGGAGGTCGGGGAGCTGCGCGCCGCCGAGAGCCTGGCGGGCCCCGAACGCCGCTGGCCGCTGCACCCCAGCGCGCGCCGCTCCTGGAGGCCTCCCACAAATGGGGTCGGCGCAGGCAGGAGCGGCCAGCATCAGATCGCCAACTCGGATCGGATCGGAATGTGTATCGAATCGGGCTGCCCTCCGCCTCCCCCTGTCCTCCGCGGCCGCCCTGTCTGTCTCGTTTTCCCCCTCTTGCATGCCAACCAATTTGTCGTTCGGCTGCCCCGAGTCGCCACACGCTTTTGCGGACCGCCTCCGCCTTGCCGCTGACGGAAATGTGTATCGAATCGGGCCGCGTCGGCAGGAAGTCGCAGGCGGCTCGGATCGGCTGCGCCGGGATGCACAGCGGCGCCGTTCAAGAGTCGGGCCGCATCGGGTCGCTGGAGAGTCGGTCTCGAATCGAATCGGGCTGGCCAGGGCCGACGTCGAAGCGGACCGGACGGATCGGAATGGGCCCTGGCAGATAGGGCCGGATGATCGAACCGCATCGTCGATGCATCGGTGACGCGGCTCGATGTGGAGGTCGATGTTCTCCACGCCGACGTCGCCGATGCGCCGCCGTCAGCACCGATGCATCGCCGACGTTGCGGTGACCCGCTTTGAGGGCTCTTAGCAGAGAGACCTCCAAGATGGGGTCAGAGTGGTTGGGGTCGGAGGAGTTGACCGCATCGCGGATGCATCGCCGACGCATCGGCGATGTCGGCTTGGAGAGAGATGCGGCGCGACCCTCCGACCCCACGATCCTCAGAAAGCGAGTTGGCGCCAACGTGTGTTTGCCCATCGAGACCCCTCAATACGACACAGGCGATGCAAAGATCTATCGGTGGAGCTGAACGGTGTAAACACACATTGGGCTAAAACACGTGCTGAGGATTGTTGAGACCCCATGAGCGCGTTTCTTTATGTTCGGCCACGACGACGACGACGACGACGACGACGACGACGACGACGACGACGACGACGACGACGACTGCGGACCAGATTCCGATGCGGATTCCTACGCGGACACCTACGCGGATCCAATTGCACACGGCGGCAGTGCCCGGAGCGCACTGGGGGTGGAGCGTTACGTCAATGGGGGGAGGGGGGGGCGGGGGCCATGACGCCCGCCATGCCCCAAGCAATAAAGAAACGGACCCCATCTTTAGAGGCCAAAAATTGCATAAGCGCAAACTGTTGGAACTCCGCGCGGACTTCTTGCATCGGCGCTGGACCCCTCCCTGGCCCCGGCGCGCCGAGCTCCGAGAAGTTCCCTCTTTTTGTTGCAGCTCTTCCCTCTTCGAGTCCAGCCGCGGCCACGACGGCTTCCGAGGAGGCTCCAAAAAGGCCTCCAGACGAGGGAAGGTTAGCGGTATGGCTGCTCCCCATTCCGCCCCCAAAAAAGTGGGGGAGATGTCTGATTTCGGGGATGGACAGAACCCAGTTTAGTAAAACATAGATTAGTGAAAACGACCTCGAACCCAAACCTGGCGGGCGCAAGCCTGGAAAATGACGGCCGCGACGCCCTCTCGAGAACTGAAAACGGACAATTCACTGATCGACGTGTCGGGGTGGGGGTTTTGTCCACCCCCGATGATTCTGGGGGGGGGGGGGCGTCTGATTCTTGAGCTGTCCCCTGGGAGGGTTCCAGGGGTCCGGGCAACAGGGCGGCCCTCTTCAGCGGCTGGTCCTTTGGGGGGAGCCTAGAGCTGCTCGTCTGGGAGGGTTGTGACCCCCATCCCTCTTGTACTAGAGGCATCCTAGATGGGCTCGGAGCCTTGCCGTCGCTCGGACGTCCATTCCCCGTGCATTTGTCGGTTTCGTGCGTGTTTTTTTTGCTCGATGGTCCAGGATGCTCCTCGATGGTTCTCGCCGAGAAAAAATGCACACGTCCGAGCAATGCCAAGGAGCAGATGGGGTGGAGGATCGCGCCGCATCGCCGATAAATCGGCGATGCATCGGCGATGTATCGGCGGTGCATCGGCCATGCATCGTCGACGTGGGCGATGCATCGGTGACGTCGACGTGAAGTAAATCGGGCTCCACGTCGAGCCGCATCAGCGATGGATCGGCGATGCTGCGCGACCCTTCGACACCATCCACTCCGACACTATCTTAGGAGGTCTAGATGTACGAAACTTGGAGCACCTCCTTCTCCTCCTCTGGAGATGTCCGCGCCGTCGCGCTCGGCACGCCGCGGCGCGAGCCCGCAGACGCGCGGATCCGCACGGACGCCTTCCGCGCGGGGGGGGCATCCGCGACAGAATCGCGCTCAGCATCCGCGGGATCGCGGCCCGGGGGCCCAGGCCGCGGGGCCGCGGATGTGGATACAGGAGGAGCTCGACCACAGGGAACCCTCCACGAGAAACCCAACCCCGAGACCATCATCATCATCATCATCATCATCATCATCATCATCATCATCATCATCGTCATCATCATCATCATCATCATCATCATCATCGTCATCATCATCATCATCCTCATCAGCATCATCATCCGCATCCCCATCATCATCATCATCAGCATCATCATCAGCAGCAGCCGCATCCTCATCCTCATCATCATCATTATCCTCATCATCATCCTCCTCATCATCATCATCAGCAGCAGCATCAGCCTCATCATCATCACCATCAGCTTCAGCATCAGCATCATCATCATCATCCTCAGAATCATCATCACCATCATCATCACCATCATCATCATCCGCATCCTCCTCCTCCTCATCATCATCATCATCATCATCCTTCTCCTCCTCCTCATATGTTGTTCATTCTCCTCCTCCTCCTCCTCCTCCACCCCAAGACGTCCCTTGCTTCTTGGCGCAGGGAGCGCCACGCTCTCTCCGTCGCAGAAAACCATGGAGGCCCAGGAAATTCAGGGCACCCTGGAGGCAAGCAGGGTGCTTCTTGGCATGGGCTTCCACTGTGCCCGTGTCGGTGCGTTCTGCTCGGATACGCATTGGGCCCGCGGCCGCAGTGCAAGCTGTGTCGAAGCATCCGCCCGAACGCCCAGAACGGCCACAACGAGAGATCCGTCACAACAGGCGACAAGAGAGAAGAGGAGGCGGCGGCGGAGGAGGAAGAGGAGTCCGACGATGATGGGTCGGAATCTCTCCTTCGCCCACATGCCCATGGTGTGTGATGTTGCCTCCCATTGTGAGGCGAGGGTCATGGAATTGCATGCCTGTGCGCTGGGCTCACACACCTATCTTGATCCCTTCTCTATTCTGCCTCTTCACCTACGGTGCTTTACCAAGGCAATCGGCGCCTTGGAAGGAGAAGGGAGGTGCAGGGGCGCACAAATTCGCTGAGCACCCCGCTCACCCGTAGCTGGGTTGCGTCTGCAACCACAGCGTTGGGCGCGCGCCGAAGCCTGCGCCGCGCCGAGAGGGCGCGGGCGCCACGAGGCCTCGGTGCCGGTCGCAGCACGACCCAGCAACGGGCGAGAAACGGGGCGGGCACGGGCGGGTCAAATCCCGAGCGCGGGGCGCGCGCCCCAGGCACACACAAACCTGTGGTACCTGCGCGCGGCCGCGGCGGGCAGCGGCCGCGCGCGGGGGCGCGCGGGCCTGCCCACATCGCCTGCGGCGCGCCGCGGCGCGCGCGAGCCAAGCGGCGGCGCGGCGACTGCTCGCGCCTGCGTCCGCCACGTGCGCCTGGGGCCAGCGAATGCGTGCGATGGAACCAGGGGCCGAACTCGTTCCATACACACAAACTCGCTGAGCACCCCGCTCACCCGTAGCTGGGTTACGTCTGCAACCACAGCGTTGGGTGCGCGCCGAAGCCTGCGCCGCGCCGAGAGGGCGCGGGCGCCACGAGGCCTCGGTGCTGGTCGCAGCACGACCCAATGCAACGGTGCGACCAGCGCCGTGCGCCGCTCACCCGTTGCGCACGCGGAGCGCGGCGCTCGGGCGCGCGCCGGGATGTCGCAGCCACGCTAGGTGTCTGAGCTGCTGTCAGAGCTGTCCGAGCAGTCGGACGCGGCGTTGCGCGCGGCCGCTACCCTCTCACTTTCGACCCGGACGCGGTCGATGTAAGCCAGGTAGGCGTTCGACGCCCAGCCTCCACGTTCCTTCGTTACTGCGGTCGGTGCACCCGCGCGATCGATGTCATCGGCGCGCCCCCTTGTGCGCGCGAGAGCGGCGGAGGGATGCGCGCGCCGAGCCGCGCGGGCGGTCGCGGGTCGCGACCTTCGCATGTCGTGGGTGCCGAATAGGTTGGCACTGTCTACGCCTATCCTGGACAATAGGGACCGAAGGACACGCCGGGCATCCGACCCTGAGAACTGCGCGAACGGCTGAGCGCCTACTGCTGTGCCGCGCAGCAACGGAGGCAGCGCGTGCACGGCGCACGTCGCGGCGTGCGCGCAGCACCAACACCTCCGGCTGAGTATCGACGCGCACGGCTTGTTCTTCCGCCTTGACAACCAGAGGAGTGCCTCGTCTGCCGGTATGGCCAACTCCGCCTAGCGCGTTCGGCGCGTGCGCGGGTGCCCCAGCGCGCACGTTTCCAGACGGCGCGGCCCGCCGTGCGGCCGCGCGACAGAGTGTTGCCGCACCACCGGATGGGTAAACACTCGGATGGTAGGCGAAGCAGGAATGTGTGCGCAATTAGAAACATGGTGGATGCCACCTGCGCGACCGCTGGGTTGACTGGCGAATGCCGCGCGGCGGCCCCGCCTTTTCTTCTTCGCTGCGACCATGTACGAAGCGCGGTTCGCGTGGCGTGTGTCCGCCGCGCCGCACAATGGCTGCCTTGGCCTTCCTGGACGCGCGACGCGCGGCCTCGCGCGCGCGGTGGCGCGGGGGGCCGACACCGGAGCAGCCGTCTGTTGCCGAAGGCGCTCGTGTCCAGGCGTAGCACTTCGCACGCTGTCTGCACGTGCCCGCAATAATTCCGGAACGTGCCCGCGCAAGAGAAAGTGCCCGACCAGCACAACAGATCGTCCCGGGCGCACGCCGCAGATTATAGGAGTCTGCGGGCCGCGCAGGAGGGGTTGCGCGGATTGGTCGCGCCTCGCTTGGCGGCAGCGCGAGATGCCGGTCACGTCCGAGTAC